TTACTGCTGCTCTTCCACTCTACAATGTCATTATCACCACTGAGATAAAAAATTTCAAGGTTAAGAGGGGTGTCGATATACAAGAGTCACTAGTAGAAATCTATGCTTTCTAGCATACTTCAGAAAAAAATATTTCCTACAGCAGGTGGAAGCAGTTGGTCACATTCCTGTCCATCTAAACAGGTGTATGGATGAAAATAATCAACTTTTTTTCCATAGTACAGAAATGTATAAAGTAGAATGATATGCCAATGGCCACTACTTACTGCAGCTGTAAGAAAGAGCAGGCAGTGCCACATGTTTTAAATAGACCTAACTTCTCAACTGTAAACACACTTATGCCCTCATCTGACTTGACGAATACAAGTTCTCAATCACTCTTCCATTACAGCAAGATGTGCTACCAGTCAGAACAGGAGTTAGAATTGTAGTACTTCTACCCTCAAACAAACTTGAAAATACTGCTTAGAATTAACACATTTATGGATTTTAAAAAGCTTTTTGAATAAAAGAATATCTACAGCCAATTTGACTCTAATCATCTGTACTTCAATTACTTACCAAACACCAGGCTCACTTTATAAAATGAGCATTAGCCAGAAGAAACTTTGGTAGAAAACTATTTCAGCTCTCAGTCCAACTCTAGGGCAAGCACTGAATAGCCTCATATGAGTAACAGGTGATGTGAAATAACACTTGCAGTCCTTTCTGCAGATCTTTCCTCTTCTGAATAAGTTATTTCAGAATAGATACTATTTTGAGACCATTTAAATGTTCTGCAGCAATTTTGGCATGAGAAAACTTACAAGTTGAAGCAAACATGGGCAATACAGAAGACCATGCTTCAAAGACTTAATTCAAATTTACATCTTCACACACGCAGACTATTCTTGTCACAAAGAATATTTGTAATTGTCATGCCAGTATTTACTTCCAGTAATATCCAGTAATGCTAGAGTAGCATTACAACAAATATTAACAAATGATAAATGAAAAGCCAAGAGAAAAGTTTTGGTGCTTCTGCTGACATCATGTAGTGAATGGTCCTGCTGGAATTGACATGCAGTGGGGTACAAGAGCTGAGTCTGCTCTGGAAATGTTAACTCTGAATGGCTTCGTTTTCCATACAGCTAAGACTTCAGTTCTCATGTAATTCTCTGCATCAGTCAACATGTCTCTACAGGTCTGAGGGATCAGAAGCTTCGTTCAAATCTTAGAAGCTTAAGCCATAATACTAACAGTGCCCAGAAATTTAAGGACACTTAAAGCATCCCGTGAGTCTAGTCTAATTCACTGGAGTTCTGGACTTGAATTGGAGCACTGGCTTCCATTAAAACTGGAGTATGTTATGTACATTAGCTTAATCTGAAGGTAATAGGTAGGAGAATTGGAATTAGGCTCACTACAGCCACATACAAAACATATCCTCAAAACATACCAGAATATGAAAAGTAGAACTCTGTAGCAGGAGAGTTTCTTTGAAAAATCCTTGGTTAAAGAAACACAAGGGTGCTGGAGAGCAAACACTTTCCTAATAAGGATTTATCATAGTCTGTAATTCATTATCATTTAGCTTCAGATCACCAGTTCCAATTAGTTACAGGTTAGGCCAGAGGAACAGCTGAAAGGCTATAGGAGCGAATTTCACAGTTTCAACGCTCATATAAGAAAGAAGCATCAATGACAAATGTCACCTATGTTAGTCCCTGGGGTGGAGGAGAGTAAAGGACCCTTCACTGCCACCAGCTACAGCTGTATTGGTTCTGCGGTCACAAAGCCAGCTTCAGCTTCCAGGACTGGAAAGGCAGCACCTCCAATATATGCATTTTTTTAAAGCAGGAACTTAAGAATGGATCCCTTAAAGTATCTTTCAAGTGGGCAGTAGCAAGATACAACCAACAGACATTGCCCTGAAAACTTGGTCTATAAAGAATGTGTTGAACAAGGCCAGAAGTGCCCTCTACCTCCTGACAAATGCTATTTAAAAAACCAAAAACAAACAACAAGCCCGTGGTATTTTTAAATTATCACATGCTTCTCCCATATTGAGAGGCTTTCAGATAAGAGCTGGGGGGAGGGAAATTAAGTGATTTTACCCAGAGGCAAACACTATGTACAGTACCTTGGAAAAAAACAGGGAAAAATATTACACAAGTCAGCTGGCTCAGCAAGGATTAAGAAATACCTTGATAAACAGTTAATGATATGAAAGGCAAAGCCCTTGGCACCAGCTCAGAAAAGTAATTGCTCCCATCTGGGCACGCAAAACCTGAAAGAGGGCTACAGTTTCAGATGGCAAAAGTAATTTTTTACAACATTATAAACTTTCTTTCATATCTGTACTGGGTGAGGGCTGGAAATTCACACCAAACTGTTTAGACCAACAGCTGAAAAACCATGCACGACCATAAGCAGCAGAGTCCCGCTAAGGGGCACAGGTTGCCCGTTTTTCCTATTTGGAGAAGAAACTAAAGATAAAGAAAGAAGAAATTTTAGAAGTTGGCTGTACTCAAGTGATAAAACTCAGTGCTATAGATGGGCCTTTATAGAGCATATATTTCCCTTTTTCATATGCATATACATATACACACACACACAACACTAAATCAACCACAACACAGCTTTGTAAGAGACTTCAACACATTGGAAAGAAGTCGCTACCCTTTAAAAAGCATGGCAAATCTTGTACTCACATACAACCTCAGAGAGAAAGAAAAATAAAGATTAGTCTTGTGAATATGCGAATATACTCAACGCTTGTTTGCATAGCATAAGGCTTAGGAGAGGAGGAGGGAGAAAAAAAAAGCTTTCACTGGGAAAATTTTATTCTGCTATTTTTCTTGCTGACTGCTTGTTTTGTGTGGGTGGGGTGGTGTTTTTATTGTTCTGGACTGTATTTTAATTGATGGCAGTTTGCCTAGATTTTGGGATTGGCATCTCTTCCATTGTTTATGTTGAAATAAATAAATATATTCCCCCTCTTATTTTTAAGAAAAGAAATCACGCTATACTCAAGTGCTAAAACTGAAGCAGGCTGCTACAAAAAACACACACACACACAAAAATCCCACACCTACCAGATTCCTACTCCAAGGAATTTACCATCTCCTCAGAGACCAGTCTCATCCCAGCTTCCCACCCCTTGAAAAACCCACGAAGGCCAAGAAGCAAAGATACTACTGCAGGAAGTCAGCAGTAGCGCTCAGTATCAAAATGTTTGTGTAATTGTAAGGAGACTAAAGATCAGATTCTAGTCTCAACCATCAAAATGCAAGAGAATAGGAGCTTGCTAAACTAGTAAGAGGAGTTCTCCAGAGAAATTAAAGTGGATTAAGAATAGCCTGGTCCATTAGTGAATGAAGAGTCACTGCAAAAAGTAAAGGGAAAGACGGTTGTCTACAGGGGCAGATACAGCCATTCCAAAAAAGCAAGTATAGCTTTAAATTCATGGTGGAAAATCTCTCAAGTTTTAAGTTTTTGTTCGGGGAAACATGAAAATGCACCAAAAAACCCCAACAACCAATCAGCATCCAAAACATTATTTCCCCAAAGCACCTAAACGAAAATGTGCTGGTCTGATTCTGGCAGCATCTGTACATCTGCTCTAGAATAAAGAAACATTTGAAAAATATGTTTTCTGGCCTACTAATTAGAAATTTACCCTGCTAAAAATGTTACACAATTAAAAAAAGAATCCTAGTTTTTGCTCAGCTCTTAGGTCATTGTCAGCCTGCTGTGTTTTTGCAGCTGATATATAATTTCCATGGTTGTCAAAGTTAATAATCCTGAAAAGCCTTTAACAACAGTAGTAGTAGTAGTAGGCACTCCTATTCCACCGAAGTTCTTTTGCTATTCCTGGGGAGTGAGAGGGTGGGGGGGGGTGGAAAAAAAAAAAAAAAAAGGGAAAGAAAAAGGAAAGAAGCACACATGCCCCCCACCCATCCAAACAAGCAAGCTGGAATTATTTAAGGAGAAATAAAGTGTCAGCACCAAGCTAAATTGTTCTCATTATCCAAAGAATTTAAAAAAATACTTAAATATTACACTTGCATGAAAATTCTATGAGCTCTTCATGCCAGGCAGTGTTTCAGCATGCTCCCCAAGTGCACACAAACAAAAAACATATGACAAACTGTTGTCTCCCAACTGATTAAAGTATTTCTCTTTGGCACAGAAAAGCACTTAGTTAACTGCTGTGAGTCTGGGCCAACAGAAGTATTCCACCCACTACCAAGCACAAAGTTCAAACCTGAACACAAACACACTTCAAAAAATGGGCAACTTCTGAAATATGAGCAAGAAGAAGACTAAGCAACTTGTTTTCAACTGCAAGCTATTTGATGAGTTGAAAGAACTAGTAAAGAGTTGGATGAATCCAACAACATTGCCTCTCTCACTTGGGGACGTTTGGAAAAATTAAAATATGTTAAAATACTCTTTCCAAGACATCACATGTTAAATACGACCACACCAACTA